GGAGACTGTCGAGCGGCTGAAATGGCAAATGTGACAGTACTAGGTGCAGTTAACTTCCAACTGCCATGTGACCCAGCAGTCACCATCCTGGACGTTTACCCCAGAGAAACAAAAACTCTGAACACATACTTACAGCAGATTTATTGGTAATAGCCAGAAACTGGAGACCAGTCAGATGTCTTTCCATGGGCGAGAGGCTCACCAAACAGGCAGGTACACGGTGCAGAGCAGTCGCTTGGAGTCGGAGAGGAACTCTGGGTCTGCACATTGACGTGGGCGGCCTGTCACAGAGGTGACATACCACATGATCCCATTCAAGCCATACTCTGGAAGCGACAACGTGGGGAACAGGTGGTGGTTGCCAGGGACTGGAGGGTGGGGAGTGGATGTGACTGTAAAGAGGGAGACAGAAACGTCCTGAGTCTTGATGGAGCCGACGTCAGCACCCAGGCTGTGATGTTGTGCTGAGGCCCACAAGCTCTTCCCCCGGGGAGTCAGGGTGAAGGATGCGGGTGGTTGTATTTCTTACAATTACATGTGGATCTACACTTACCTCAAGATGAAAACTTTAGTTTAAAAAAAAACACCTCCCCAGATGCCCACCATTGGTGGGAGAAGACCTAGCCCCATGGTGTGTTTCCTGCCCACTGCTCTGTCCCCTGCCCTTTGCCCCATCCACCTCTCCAGCCCCTTGCTGTGCTACCCACAGCCTGGGTGTCAGTGACCGGCCCTGTAACACAGGCCCTGGGGCTTCCCGGTCCTGCAGGACATCTCTGCTGGCAGAGCACACGGGCACAGCAGGAGGCCCTTGTGGGCTGTGAGAGGGGGGCCTGGAGGCAGTGGGGCCGGCTGGGCAGAGAGGGTGTGCCTCCCGGGTGCAGTGGAAAGCAGGGGTGAGGTTGAGGACCAAAATCTAAAGTAGGGGGTGAGTTTTCTCCCATTACTGAAGACTGCTGTTTGTTTGATTTTGTACCTCACTTTTGTGCTCACCAGGTCATATCATTTGTTATTTGCAAACAAGCAGATTTTTTTTTAATTTTAATTTTTATTTATTTTTGGCTGCGTTGGGTCTTCGTTTCTGTGTGCAGCCTTTCTCTAGTTGAGGTGAGCTGGGGCTAGTCTTAATTGCAGTGTGTGGGCTTCTCATTGCAGTGGCTCCTCTTGTCGCGGAGCGCAGGCTCTAGGCGTGCAGGCTTCAGTTGTTGTGGCGTGTGGGTTCAGTAGTTGTGGCTCGCGGGCTCTAGAGCGCAGGCTCAGTAGTTGTGGTGCTCAGGCTTAGTTGCTCTGCGGCATGTGGGATCTTCCTGGACCACCTCAAACCCGTGTCCCCTGCATTGGCAGGCGGATTCTTAACCACTGTGCCCCCAGGGAAGCCCCAAACAAGCAGATATTGAAAGTGGAGTCAGGGGTGGGGGAAAGGTGGAGGCGACCAAGGGCCTCAGTGAAGACAAGGCTTTGATTTCCTTTGGGTCCCCGTGCAGCTGTCACCTTTAGGGGCAGGGGAAAGACAGAGATTCTGTTCTTACTCTTGTAGAAGCCCAGCGTCACCTCAGGGCCCTGAATCATCTTCCACTGGGAAGAGGTCGGGTGGGGGACAAGGATGGTGTGCCCAGCGAAGATCCAGTCAGACCGTGAGGAGGATGTCAGCAGGGCTGCACACACGCACGCGCACACACGTGCACACATGCACACCCCCGGTTCTCCCGGCCCACAGGTGTACGCCCACGCGGGTGCCACACTGGATGGGAAGATGTACATCACATGCGGCCGCCGGGGCGAGGACTACCTGAAGGAGACCCACTGCTATGACCCGGACAGCAACACCTGGCACACGCTGGCTGACGGGCCAGTGCGGCGGGCCTGGCATGGCATGGCCACCCTCCTGGACAAGCTGTACGTGGTCGGGGGCAGCAACAACGATGCGGGCTACAGGAGGGACGTGCACCAGGTGAGCGGCAGGGTGCCTACCTTCTGCTAGTCACCGATAAAAATTGCCGTAGGGGCAGGTTTCCCTTGTAACAGACTAATTTTTAGAGCAGTTTTAGGCTCACAGCCAAGTTGAGCAGGAAGATTTCCCGTGTGCCCCCGGCCCCCACACACCATGGCCTCCCCAGGCTCAGCATCCACCAGAGGGTGTCATTGTTATAACCGATGACCCTACACTGGCCCGGGGTCACTCCTGGTGATGCACATTCTGTGGGTTTAGACAGATGGCATGTATGCACCATTAGAGTATCACACGGAAGAGTTTCACTTGTCTTTATTATTATTAAAAACTTTAATTACATAAAGTTAATGTAACCACATTGCAGAGCTTTGAAAAAATGGAGACGGGTGAAGAAAAACTCCCATAACCTGGCCCTGTGCCACTAGCTTCAGCCCTCCTACCTGTGCATGGTTTCCACTTAATTGTCCTCAAAGAGCATCATCCCATTTGGTTTCTGGCTCAAGTTTGTTGTGGGCGTGTCTTCTAGTTTGATGACCACCCCACCCCCACCCCACCCAGTGGCTGTGCAGAATTCCACCAAACTGGTGACGTTTGGGTTGGTCAAGTTGTGGCTATTCTAGGTAACATTTCAAGTAATATTTGCTTTATAGAGCTTTTGGGTATTTTGGGGTATTTCCTGAGGTGAGAGCAGTGGTTCTCTTAAGTGTGGTCCCCGGGCCAGCAGCACCCACATCACACGAGAACTCATAAGAAATGCAGATTCTCTGGCCCCTCCCAGACCCACTGAGTTGGAAGTTCCTGGGTGGGATCCTCCAGTGTTGAGAACCATTGGGCTCTAGCGTTTTCATTTTCTATTGCAGCCGGGACAAATCACCACAAATTTAGCCACTTAAATCAACACAAGTGTGTTACACGCCTGTGGCTCTTACCAGACGGCAATCCAGGGGTCTTTCCTTTGTGGGGCCTGGGGAGGATCCACATCCTCCTCACTTAGGGTGTCGGTGGAGTTCAGTTCCCTGTGGTTGTAGGACTCAGGTCCCGATTCCTTGGCTGCTGTGGCCTGAAGCCCTTCTTGGCTTCTGAAAGACTCCACGTCCCCCGGGTCAGGCCCCTTCCTCTTCTAAGCCAGCAGCGGCAGCTTCCCCTCCCTTTTCAGCCCCCACCAGACTTTCCCTTCTGTTTCCAAGGGCTTGTGTGACTAGGTGGGTCCCCCCGAAAATCCAGGATAACCTCCCATCTCCATGTCCCCACCCTAATGAGTCTGTAGGGTCCTTCTTGCCATGTAAAGTAATACAAGTCCCAGAGATCTGAGCACAGGCTCCTTTGAAGGCCATTCCTCCTCCTGCGGCTGGTGAACCAGAGGGGATCATCATTGAGTCAGAGGGTAGTGTCCGAGTGGCTCTTGATAATTTTGCACGTTGCTGTGCTGGCTGGTCAGACAGGTGCACAGCAGGACAGCTTCACCACGCCTCCACCAGCCCCGGGCTTGTGCCTTTTCTTCCCCAGTGGCTGCTGGTTAACAGCTGACAATTTGTCCCTGATGTTTTATTTTGCATTTCTTGGATTACTGGTAGGCTGAACATTTTCCCATGTATTTGTTTACTGTTTGTAGTAATTTTGAAGAGAAGAGATTTTTTTTTTTTTTTGGCTGCACTGCATGGCTTGTGGGATCTTAGTTCCCTGACCAGGGATCAAACCCAGGCCCCAGCAGTGAAAGCACTGAGTCCCAACCACTGGACCGCCAGGGATCCCCCAAGAGAATGTTGATGGTCATCATGAGTTAGCAAGCACCTGTTTCCTTATTTTATCTGCACCTCCCCCATTGCTGGGTGTGCATGGGGTCTGAGTCTTCAGCTTCAGTGGCGGAGGGGAGTGAGCTGGCACCCCCAGACTAACTGGAAGACACCCACACGCCTGGGGCCACAGGCTGGCTGAGGGGCCAGAGCGTCAGCCTGGCCCGAGCCCTTCCTCTGGGGGGTGCGTTTGCCCACAGCCCCACTGCATCCCTCAGCCTCATATGTGAGCCTGGGGCCTTGCCTTGCAGGTGGCCTGCTACAGCTGCAAGTCCGGGCAGTGGTCATCCGTCTGCCCGCTCCCAGCAGGGCACGGTGAGCCTGGAATCGCTGTGCTAGACAACAGGATCTACGTGCTGGGTGGCCGCTCGCACAACCGGGGCAGCCGCACTGGCTATGTGCACATCTATGACGTGGAGAAGGACTGCTGGGAGGAGGGCCCACAGCTGGACAACTCCATCTCGGGCCTGGCGGCCTGCGTGCTCACCCTGCCGCGGTCCCTGCTCCTTGAGCCGCCCCGCGGGACGCCTGACCGCAGCCAGGCCGACCCGGACTTCGCCTCTGAGGTGATGAGTGTGTCTGACTGGGAGGAGTTCGACAACTCCAGTGAGGACTAGGGTCCCAGGCCAGGTCGGGGGTGCAGGGGGTGGTAGCTCCCAGCTTCCCCCACAGCACTTTGCCCTGGAGCACTTGACCCCAGGCTAGCAGCGGCCTTCCCTCCCGCCACCTCCCATCGGCAGGTATTTTTGGGGCCCTGCAGACCTGTGGCTGTGGATCACCCCACAGTGGGAAACCTTCGGGAAGGGCTCGGTCCCCTGAAGTTCACCGGGCTCTCTCCTCCTCAGCAGGGACGGGCTGTGCCACCACCAGCTGTCCTGGCCTCCCTGCTCCCTGGTTCTGGTTCCTACTGGGCCGAGAGGGCGCCCTTCTCCCAAGGGACCTGGGGACTGGCCCCTGGTGAGGGGGCCAGGGCACATCTTGTCCCTCTCGTCGGCAGGGAGGGGGCGTGCTGAGCCCATCGCCTGCCTAGCAGCTCCCAGGGCCGGAGGGGGAGAGAGATCCATCAGGTTGCCTGAGGCTGATTCTGTGATAAAATGATGCCCTCTAGCTGGGCTTTTCGGCCCCCATGTTGTTGATAAATGAAATAAATCATCTTACACGAGGTGTGCATTGCTTTCCTTTGGCCATGGCCTCACTTCCTTTCACAGCCTGTCCAAGGCTGCAGCCCTGGAAGCATGATTTCTGGGGGGCAGAGCTGTTGGGGGCGATGGGAGGCCGAGAGCCCACCCCCAGGCTAGAAGGGTGTCACCAGGACGCCCGCCGCAGTCTGGTGACAGCTGGTTGCCCACCCACTTGAGCATTTTCCCTGGTGAGGACCTCTTCTCTGAACTTTAGTCCAATCCCAGGTGGCCATCTCAGCCCCAAGTAAAGCCTAGCACCTAGGGAGGGAGAGAGAGATGCCTGGGCCTGCCCACCTCCTGCATCTGAGCATGTAGCGGGGAGGGGGCGCTGCATTTCCTCCAAGTGAGTCTCCAGGGCCATGCTCCAGCAGGTGGGACCTGTGGGCAGGCAGGGCTTCCAGCACCAACCTCACTTCTGCACAGCCCAGCCTCCATCTGAACACCCCCCCTCCTTTGGGGTCCTCGTACCACACCCCCTGCAGACCCCTAGGCCCGGGCATGGATCTGGAAAAACCCCCAGTGCTCTGTTCTCTGTTCTTTCCCGGCCACCTGGGACAGCTGGGTCTTTGTCCCTGTGCCTTGCCTAGAGCCTGCTGCCCTGGCGCCCTGCCATGGAAGAGGGGGGCAGAGGGACGGTGTGTGCTCCTTGGTGGGAGGAAGGGCATGGGGGGTGCAGGCAGCCAGCTGCTCTGGACTCCTTTGGGGGTACCCTAAAGATGGGTGTGGGGGCGAGGCAGTCGCGGTGTGTGTGACTGCTGTCTTGGGGTCCAGGTACCTCTGAGGAAACGTGCCCTACTCCCTAAGCCCACGTGACATCATGCACTTACTCTTCAGGTGGCAAGCCCAGGGTTGACTCTGATGGTCGCTTCCAGTGGGACAGGATGGCCACTTCTCCAGTGTCATCCTCCTGCTCCCAAGGGTGAGGTGTGGGAATGTGAGTTTGGAGTAGGAACCCAGCACTTCCTGTCTCTGCCAGCACCTTGCAGGCCAGGGCTGCAGTCCCTGCAGACCCCAGAGGTTCCTGGGAAGGAGAGCCAGAAATGTCTGCCTCCGCCCCCAAAATGTGTCCGAGGTTGCCAGTGCTATCTCCCCACCCAGACACCAAGGCACAGCTTTTGCAAGAGACCTCTGGTCTGCAGTGGAGGTGGGGAAAGGTCTGTGAGGCCCCACAGGGCATGGGGTGGGGTAGACATGAGCCCTGGAAGGGATCCTGAGAGCTGGGCAGCAGCCTAGCCCTGCCACTGTTCGGTCTAGCATTCACCCACCGCTAGCAGCCCACCAGCTCCTGCCCCTGGGCCCAGGCAGCCAGCTTGCCAGCTTGGCAGGCTTTCAGGCCCTGCATTCAAGCCTTTGCTTCACTCGTGGCTCATCCCTTTCTGTCTGCAAAATCCTCACCCTTCAAAGTTGGCCTCCCCCAGGAAGTCATCCCAGTCAGAACCGGTCGGCCCAGGCTCCTGGCTCCCACGGTCTGCATGCTGGTCAGTCATATGGGTGCCTATGAACCCCCAGCTTCCTCAGCCTGGTATTCACCTGGCACAGGCTGGGCAGACAGACGATCGTCCACTCCACCTGCACTCAGTCTCCTGATGGAGATGTGGTGGTTGATACAGACGTGGGCCCTGCCCTCAACACCTGAACTCACCATCAAGTGCAAGGTGGCTGCGACAGGACACAGGCGGGGGGCTGTGGGTCTGAGACGAGGCTGGTGACGGTCCTGTCCTGCGGGCACCAGACACAGGTGGTACACGGATGGGGTGGGTAGAGATTTGTGACATTCAGGCATTCAGGTGTTGCCCCCACAGAGGTGGGGTTGTGGGGCGGGAAGCAGCCCTGGAGAGAGATGAGGGAGTTGGAGATGCCTGTCCATGAACCCAGTCTAGCTAGGGCGATGCCTCTAAAGTCAGGAGCTGGGCAGACAGTGCAGCCACACAGACCTCTGCTGGCCTCCATTGCTGGCAGCCAACGGGGGTTCCATGGGAGGGGCCCGGGCACTGCTGAATTCAGGGCCATGGCCAGGCAGAGCTGCCCAGAAGTGGTTGGCCTTTTTACTTGTCCCAGAGAAGTGTTTGCATTCATGACCACATGGGTGCAACTTCCCTGCCACCCTCCCCAGCTGTGCCTCCGTCCTGCACCAGAATGGCTCAGGGAAGGGCCCTAACCTCCGAAGCTCCCTCCCATCCCGACTTCTGCCAGCCTGGTGATGCCCACAGCCTTGGGCCTTTCAGTGGCCCTTATTCCAGGCCCCCTCCGCCAGCCCCACCCTTCCAGATGGGGCCCCCGCATAACTGAGGCAGGATGCCACCTCCCCTCCTCAGCAGCTGCCCTCTCCCTGCCCAGGCCCTTCCACCAACTCTCAGGTCCTCAAAAGCCCAGCTCATCTTTTCGGGGACCTGTCTGCCCCCCTTTCTGTTCCATCCCCAGCCCTGCCCGTCCTGCCCACCCCATGGGCCTGGGGTTGAGTCTGACCCCTCTGTTTCCTGGGCCCAGGGTTCCTCTTCCTCCTGGTCCCCCTAGGCCCTCCTCACCCCCTTTCTCTGCTGCCCCTGCGCTGCTCTGTGCTGTCACCCCACCCCTCCCGAGGCAGGAGCTCCCACGACTCCAGCCCTGACTCCACCTTCTGGACTTTCTCCTTGGTGACTAGCGGCCTCCAGCCCATCGTCACACCTTGACAGGGGCTGCAGGCAGGGTCTCAGTCCTGGAGCTGTCCCCCCACCACCACCATACCGCCTCCCTCAGCCTCCGACACCTGCCTTTACCTCCATATTCTCTCAGAGCCCGCGCGGAGCCATTCTGCTCCCAACATCTCTCCAGTCTGTTTCTACGGGGGCCCCTTCACCCAGGCCTCTCTGGTCCAGACCGAGTCTACTCACAGGCCTCAAGCATCCGGCTCCGCCGTCGCTGCAGGCTTTGATTGCGCCCGGCGCTCGGGAGGCGCTGACCGCACAGCCGGACATAGAAGGGCCTCACGGGGGGAGCAGAAGCCGGCTTGCAGCCTTGACCTGGAGGTTCCGAGGCGCCGCTGGCCAGGGGGCTTTCGTGCGTCGCGCCTGGTCCCCACCCGCTTCCCGCCCCGGGCCTGGCCTCGCCGGGAGCGCGCAGGGGCCGCTTCTCTGGTGGGTGTCTGGGGAAGGGAGGGAAAGGCAACGCGACCGGTGATTCCTCCGGAGGGCCCCTTCCAAGTTCGCCCCCAAGTTTGCGCGCGGCCGCGTGGGGGCGGGGGCCGCGCGGAGGGGCGGTGGCGCGGCCGGAGGGTGGGGTCTGGCGCGCGGGGCGGGCGCTGCCGCCTGGCCGGCCGCGGCTGGCCCTGGATCAGGGAGCCGATGTGGAATTTCCTGCCCGGCCCGGCGCCCCTCCTGCCGCCCCCCGCCCGGCCGCGCACTCCGCTTCCGGCCGCTCTCGCTGCGGCCGCACCCGCGCCCGCGCCCGCCCCGCGCCTGCCCCGCGCCGCATGGAGGGCGCAGGGCCCCGGGGGGCCGGGCCGGCGCGGCGCCGGGGAGCCGGGGGGCCGCCGCCGCCGCTGCCGCCGCTGCTGCTGCTGTTCTGGCTGCTACCCGGCCCCGCGGCGCCGCAGGAGCTGAGCCCGCGCGGCCGCAACGTGTGCCGCGCGCCCGGGTAGGAGCCGGCCGGGCTGGGGGAGGGGGCCGGAGGGACACCCGGGGCCGGGGGGAGGGGGCGCCCAGGACCTCCCTGAGCCAAACGCGCGGGCCCCTCGGGCCGCCCTCGCTGACCCCGGCTCCGCTCCAGGCCGAGCCCGGGCGCCGGGCCACGACGGTGCGTCTGAGGATACCCTGGGCGAGAAGCGGCCGAGGGTAGAGCGGAGGGCAGCGGACGCCCAGAGGGCTGACACACGGGGTTCGAGATTTCAGACCCAGGAAAAGGGACCCTTGGGCCGGATTGTGAAGGCCGTAAGAAGACGGGAAGCTCATTCCAAGCCCATGGCATGGCATGTGCAAGGGCCCAGACACACGAGTGTGGCTCGAGCCGTGATGGAGGGAGGGTGAGCGTCCAGGAGAGATGGAGCGAGGCTCCTGAGAAGAGGGAGCCGCGGAGGTCTTGAGGCAGGCGAGTCGGAAGGACAGATTTGTGTCCTAGAAAGAGCGGGCGCGGGTGGGAAGAGGGTGGTTATGGAGGTGGGCGTCGAGGAGCCTGAGCTCAGAGTGGCCCAGAAGCGGGAATAGAGAGACAATGACGTGCGCCGGCATCGGGAGGATGGGGGACTCCCGGGTGGGGATACGGGGTGCAGAGGGGCGGCGCAGAGGTGGGCGCCACGAGGAGCCGGGCTGGGGAAGCCAGTGTGGGACAGGAGGGGACAGGCTCTGCCGGAGGGCACCGGGCTCAGGACCTTGCGCGGAGGTCGAAGAGCGCAAGCCAGGACCCAGGAGTGGGCGCAGGAGTCGGAGGACCCGGTCGGTCTGTCAGAGGCCACTGCGAGGTCAAGGGCATCTCCGCGCGGGGGCGAGGAGCCGGCGTGAGGGGGTGCCTTGGCGCGGGCCGGGGGCGCCAGGCAGGCGGGAAGCTGGAGAAGCATCACGGGCTCCTGGCGGGTGCGGTGGGGGCGCCCTGGGCCGCAGGGCCCAGGGAGGCCGCGTCCGGGGGCAGGCGGTCGCGGCAGACAAGGGGCTGTGAGGGGCCGCGCGGGGTTTCCGAGCTCGGATCCCGAGGCGCGCAGACCCCTCCCCGCTGCGAGCCCCGCCTCTGGGGCGGGGGCCGGCCTGGCCCGCCATCTGCTTCACATCGACGCCGCCGCCGCCGCCTCCCGGGCCTCCCGGGCCTCCCCGGCCCCAGGAATGCAGCGGCTGTGGCGGGCGGGGCCGCCTGGGGAGTGGGAGGGCGCGATCGTCGCCGGCCCTGTCCCTCCGCCTCGGCTCTCCTTCCCTGTGGGGGTCCGTGCCGGGGGTGGGGGGTGGGGGGATCCGATGGCAGGCCAGAGCTGTCCGGAGCCTCCTCCACTCCCCCTCTCCCCGAGATGTTCCATCAGGCGGCCTGTTCCAGTAGCCAAGAGCCTGGGTTGGGTTTCAGATCCTGGTGCCACCTCTCCCCATCTGAGTGGCCCCGGGCACAACGCTTAACCTTTCTGGGCCAGTCCATACTCCTGTCCAGTGGGGGGGGTGGTGGTAGAGGAGGGATGACTGTGATCCTGTGTGGAGCTGGTTAATGGGAAAGACGGCACTCCCCCATCCCCCCCAGGGTCTGGACCATCTCTTCATTACCTTCCCAAGGCTGGGCCTTGCCAGGTTCCCATTAGCGTTCCCTCCCTCCGGAGGCAGGAGGACTAGGGCAGGGAGCAGCTCTCAGTCAGTAAAATCCCATACACTTAATGTGTGCAGGCCTGTTGTTGGTGCAGGGATACAGCTGTCCTGTGTGGAGGAGATTTACAGCAAATCATCTGACATCTGGCAAGGGCTGGGGAGGAGGTGTTCAGTTGGGGAGACCCAGTGGGAAGTGATGAGTGAGAGAGGCCTGTGGGAGAGGAGGCAGAGCAGGGTGGCATCTGGGGCAGGGCCCTGAGTGCAGAGGGCCTGTTGGAAGCACAGGAAGGAGCCCTGGGGGCTGGGACAGGGATGGTGGAGGAGAGGCCACAGGGCGATGGGAACCCCCGTGGGCTTTGCACAGAAGAGGGGCAGGATGTGACCTGGGTTGGCTGTCAGGTGGCAGATGAACTGGGGCAGGAGGGCAGAAGGTGGGAGAGAACCAGGGAGGGTGAGGGTGGCTCTCACAAGGCTGGGCGGGGGACAAGTGGCCTGTCCCATCCTAGATCCAGTTTGGAAGGTAGAGCTGGCGTGTTTCTCAGTTGATCCACTCTGGGAGAGAGCAGAGTCCCCTTCCAGCCTCCCAGCCTGGAAGGACAGTCTTTACCCTGAGATGGAGAAGACTCGGGGTGGGAGGGGCTAGTGGGGAGGAGGGCCTCCCTCGAGGCCTCCGAGGCATTGTCAGTGTCTGGATGGGACCTAGGGAGCTTCCTCAGGGAGCTAGAGTGGACAGAGCAGGGGAGGGAGGCGGGGGGTGGGGCAGAAACCAGGGGAGGGGTGCCCAGGGGGGAAGGAGGAGAGTGGGGCAGGCATGGAGTCCCAGGGGGCGTGGAGGCAGAGGAGCTTCCTGTCTGGACTGGGGAGAGAATGGGACAGACACGCACAGTGAGCAGGCAGTGCTCTTGGGGAGCTTTGCTGAGGTGGCTTGGGCAGGTTCAAGATGAAGGTTTAAATCACCGCAGCTTCATTTGCAGTAACAGTGATCTATGGGGGGGCAGCCTGCAGCACAGCCTGCTTGCTGAGGGGCCTGGATTGACACCCCAGGGTCCTTCCCTAGTGTAGGAGCTACCCCTGCACTGGGCCATCTTTCTTGTCATCTCACTTTAATAAGATCTGAGAAAATGGGCCTGCCAACCTAGCCCAGCCTTTTCTGCCAGCCCGTCCCAGAAGGAAAAGTCCCACAGACTCATCCTCCACGTGGGCTCTGTCCTGCAGGGGAGCAGGGTTGTTAGCTCTGTTGGGTGGGGCCTGGGCACCAGCCATGCTGGGAGGACCAGGTGAACTCAGGGACTTCCTAGAGCCTGCTCAGCATGGGCTGGAGCTCACAGCACAGCCTCGGCTGAGCTCATAGTTTGTGCTGGACACATCTTGACTCTCTTAATCCTCCTGCCAAACCTATGGGCCCCATTCTACAGATTTAGCAGCTGGAGCTCAGAGAGGTAAAGTTCTGTGCCCAAGGTCACACAGCAAGTGGCAGACCCAGTCATCCAATCCAGCTTAGTGTGGCCCTAAAACCAGGCTCCCAACCTGATTACAGAGCCATGCAGCCAGGTCGTCCAGGATGGAAGGTGGTCAGTGTTCCTGGGCCATCCCAGCAGGCCATCTGGTGAGGCTGCCTGCAGGAGGGACCTCTACAGAGGCTCTCCATCTGGAGACCTGGGTTCATACTGGCAGAAGAGGCAGGAGGGTGATGGGCCCTCGGACCTGGGTCTCCCTACAGATGGCCATCTCGGAGCTGGGTGGGTGGGGACAATGGGGGCCAGAAAATCCAGGCCTGCTTAGAGTTCCTGTCTCTGGTTTCCAGTTTTATTTGTGGAAAATAAGGTGGCCCATTCCTTGAAGTTTGGGGTTTTATGGATCCTGTTCCCCAGGTCCCATATCTTTGGCCCAAAGGAGAATCCAGCCCTTTCTGGGAGAGGGGGCTCCCTTGGAGTCCGGGGGCCCCATCCAGGGTGTGGTGATCATTTCGAGCTGGGAACGGTTGGGGGGCATCTTCTGAGGGGTGTGATATGGGGCCGCTGCAGCCTTTCCCTTCTCAGGCCATCCCACCTCCACCCCAGGGTGCTCAGGCCCCTCCCACCTCCTCCCATCACCATATCCTGGTTCTAGATTCACATCCTTCCCAAGAGGCCCTCTCCTTTTCTCTGAAGTGTGAATGGTGGCTATGTGCCTTTAGCATTTGGCTGAAGTTCTAGGTCTGATGGGACCCTGCAGAACTGCAGCCTGAGTGTCTGTTCCTTCTCAGCCTCCTTTGCCCCACAGTGTGGGCACACCCCACCTCAGCCCTCATGGCCCTCACCAGTGGCCATGGCTTCACTTGGGCAGGGCCTCCAAACCTTTGTGCCTACACACCCCATAAGCCCAGGCCTTGGGAGGCTGCACCACCCTGATATGGGACACATAAATTTTTTACCTCCTACTGTACCTTGTAAAGCCAAATAAAATTAAACAAGATTTTATGAAAGTTCACGGAGAGGACATTCTAACGTTGCCTTCCTCCAGCCCAAGTCTCGCCCTGGTGCTCTGCAGCCCTCAGTTTTACTTTCCTTACTCAGATGGAGGACTCCCTGGGTGTACCTTGCCCCTCTCCAAGTGGACACCTCGCTGTGTCCACCACACTCAGAGACAACCCATCTGCCTTGGTGTTCCAGTTGGGCATCCAGATGTGCCCACCCGGCCCAGCCAGTCCTGGCACTGCCCAGGTCACGTCATATCTGGATCCCTGACACCCATCTGGCCAGAACCCCACCCCCAGGGATGCCCTAGACCTCCATGTCTGAGCAGGTCCTGGAGGCCCAGGGACCTTTGCCCCACCCCCACCTCACTGCTGCCCCTCTTGGGACATGTGGGGTCTCTTCTCTGGCCTAGTGGATGGGGGAAGAGGGCACAGATCAGGAGGAGTGGCGAGACCCCTTGTAGAGGGAACTGGGAAGTTCTTGGAGGTGGTCTGCCATCTGCCGCCTCCCAGTGTCCGCTCTAGAGGGCTGGAATTTGTGTCTTATTCGCTTCGAGTCTCCCAAACCTACAGCAGTGCCGGGCACACATGAGGGCCTTTATAACCACCTCCCTAGGGCAGGGTGGAGGTTACTGGGGGACCCAGCGAGGACTAGGAGTGGGTCCCGAGCTCAGGCGCCCTCTCTCTGCCTGCAGCTCCCAGGAGCTCACTTGCTGCGCCGGCTGGAGGCAGCAGGGGGACGAGTGTGGGATCGGTGAGTAGGGCACCCTGGGACTTGGGCAGGGGGCGGGGTCACGGAGAGGAGGGATAGTGTGGGGGCTGAACTCGGGACAACTTGGGCGCGTCTCGTCCGCAGCTGTGTGCGAAGGCAACTCCACGTGCTCGGAGAACGAGGTGTGCGTGCGGCCGGGCGAGTGCCGCTGCCGCCATGGCTACTTCGGTGCCAACTGCGACACCAGTGAGCGCGGATTGTGGCGGGCGGGGCAGTGGGGCAGGATCCCAGAGATGGGCGGGGCCTGAGTCGGGAGTGGGTCCCCGGGGGCGGGGGGCTGGACGCGGGCAGGTTCGGGCTGGGTCTGGGCCCCGTCGCGAGCACCTGGGCTTCCCACCCTCTCCGCTCGCTCTGCAGAGTGCCCGCGCCAGTTCTGGGGTCCCGACTGCAAGGAGCTGTGTGTCTGCCACCCACACGGGCAGTGCGAGGACGTGACGGGCCAGTGTACATGTCATGCGCGGCGCTGGGGCGCACGCTGCGAGCATGCGTGCCAATGCCAGCACGGCGCGTGCCACCCGCGGAGCGGCGCGTGTCGCTGCGAGCCTGGCTGGTGGGGCCCACAGTGCGCCAGCGCGTGCTACTGTAGCGCCACGTCGCGCTGCGACCCACAGACGGGCGCGTGCCTCTGCCACGCAGGCTGGTGGGGCCGCAGCTGCAACAACCAGTGTGCCTGCAACACGTCGCCGTGCGAGCAACAGAGCGGCCGCTGCCAGTGCCGCGAGCGCACGTTCGGCGCGCGCTGCGAGCGCTATTGCCAGTGCTTCCGCGGCCGCTGCCATCCGGTGGACGGCACGTGCGCGTGCGAGCCCGGTTACCGGGGCAAGTACTGCCGCGAGCCTTGCCCTGCCGGCTTCTACGGCCTGGGCTGCCGCCGCCGGTAAGCGCGGGCCCCGGCCAGGGAGGGAGAGGAGGGGCAGGCGCCGAGGGAGCCGGGGTGAGGCGGCCGGGACCCCGCCTAGCCTCCTGCCCCTTCCCCAGATGCGGCCAGTGCAAGGGCCAGCAGCCATGCACGGTGGCCGAGGGCCGTTGCCTGACGTGCGAGCCCGGCTGGAACGGCACCAAGTGCGACCAGCCGTGCGCCACCGGTTTCTACGGCGAGGGCTGCGGCCACCGCTGCCCGCCGTGTCGCGACGGGCACGCCTGCAACCACGTCACCGGCAAGTGCACGCGCTGCAACGCGGGCTGGATCGGTGACCGGTGAGCAACCCGTGTCCGCCTCAGACACACAGCCCCCAGCCGGCCTCCCCCGATTGCCCTCCACGGAGGGCTCTGTGGGCTTAAGGGTCGTTTGCCTGTTTCCGCTGACGCCTCCTCCCCGCGTTCCGAGGTGTGAGACCAAGTGCAGCAATGGCACCTACGGCGAGGACTGCGCGTTCGTGTGCGCCGACTGCGGCAGCGGCCACTGCGACTTCCAGTCGGGACGTTGCCTGTGCAGCCCGGGCGTCCACGGGCCCCAGTGAGTGCCCGGGGACCCAAGGGGTTTGAGGGGTCTGTATCCGGCACTGGGCTCCAGCCAGACCCCAGGTGCTGCTGCGTTGGCCGACCAGGCGGGACCCAGGCTTGGCCCCTCAGCCTTGGCCCCCATACTTCAGCTAGGGAGAGACAACAGGCTCTTTGGGGCAGCTTCCTGCCCTGGGTGGAGCCAGATCTCGAGCGGGATCTAGCAACCAGGTCAGCCTGTGGCCAGTGGGTTCCTTGAGGGCTGCAGGGCTGAGGTGACCCGGAGATGATGTGGAATGAGCAGGGACCTCCACGTACAGCCAAGGGTCTCGTCTGGCAGCCCCTTTTCCCCCCACAGAAGAGTCAGCCCCAGCAATGGGCACTGCGGCCAGTGTCCACGGCCCGTCCCCTAGACTCCGTCCCACTGGAGTGCACACATTTGTTGCCAAAACATTGATCGCTCAGGGTGTGCTGGAGGTGGGGGTGGGCTGCAGTCCCTAGAGAATGGAGAACCCGGGGCCGGGCCGGGGCTGGCTGGCCGCGGGGGCGAGGGCGGGAGGCGTAACCGAGGGCCGCTTGGCTCTCCCAGACCCCACGCCCCTCCCTGACCTCGCGCCCCCGCAGCTGTAACCTGACTTGCCCGCCCGGGCTCCACGGCGTGGACTGCGCCCAGGCCTGCAGCTGCCACGAGGACTCGTGCGACCCGGTTACCGGTGCCTGCCGCCTGGGTGAGTGGGTGAGGGCGACCCGGCGGGGGCGCGGGGGCTGCCGGCACCTCGCTGACCCTGTGACCCCCACAGAGACCAACCAGCGAAAGGGTGTGATGGGTGCGGGCGCGCTGCTCGCCCTGCTCCTCGGCCTGCTGCTCTCGCTGCTCGGCTGCTGCTGCGCCTGCCGCGGCAAGGACCCCGCGCGCGGGTGAGGCTTCCAGCTCCCTCCCTTCCCCGGTTCCGGCCGTGCGGGGACTGCAGCGCGGCGCGCCGTTCCCGGCCCCGCCCTGGGGGGCCCCACCCTTCGTTAGCTCAGGCCCCGCCCTCCTTGAGGTTCTGCTCCCTTGGGCCTCTCCCGGCCTTAGGCCCCGCCCCACCGCTCAGGCCTCTCCCTCCCTGTGGGTGGGCTCCCACGGGCTAGCCCCGCCCCTCTGGAACAGGCACGGCCCCGCCCCTTCGCTCAGCCCCCGCCCCCGCAGGGAGCTCTCGCTTGGGAGGAAGAAGGCGCCGCAGCGCCTATGCGGGCGCTTCAGCCGCATCAGCATGAAGTTGCCCCGGATCCCTCTCCGCAGGCAGAAGCTGCCCAAGGTCGTAGGTAAGGAGTCTCCGGGGAACACCCCCCGACGCAGGAGGCTGCTGGGAAATGGGTGTGACGGGGTCGGTGTAGGAACTGCGGGGCCTTGAGTGTCGATGTGGGGGCGTGGGCAGGTGCGACCAGGGGGAGGAAAGAAGGATTGCGGATGCAGGGGAGCCCTGGAGGAAGGCAGGGGTCCTACGTGTGCGGGCAGGTGTGGGCCCTGTCTCGGTGACTGTGAGTAACTGCATGTGTGGTGTGGTGGGGCAGTGTGGACTGGACATCCGCGGCCGGTAGGCCCCCGCAGTCTGCGGGAGTGAGTACACTGTCGGTCCTGATGCGAGCTGCAGGTGGACGCGGGCACCTGTGAGTGGGAATGCCCTGCCACAGGAAGACCCACCCCCGGCCCGGATCCCCAGCTGTGCCCTGGGTCTTTCCTGGAAAGTGGGCAGGCTGGTCCCTCGGCCCCCACCCTACCTCAGGACGGGGCTGGGTGCGGGGCGATGCTGCTTCTCTCCTTCTGCCTGCACTGACTCACACCGGGGTGGAGTCTCTCTGCGTCTTTCCCACTTGTTTCCAAAGATGAGGGGGATGGGGAGATGAAGTCTCCTGGGAGGTAAAGATGCAGACAGCTGAGAAAACCCCTGGGCCCACTCAGCAGAGTGGGATTTATGGGCACAGATGTGGGGGCTGGAACCCACATCCCATTTGTGAGAGGGGGACGGGCTGGCCAGCCTCTGGGATTCCCCCGTTGTGGGGTCTATGTCTGTGGAGGCCGTGCCTAGGGGTGCAGCCTGCTGAGACGGCTGAGGCAAAGGGTGGCTTCACCACTGCACATTTGCATTCAAAAACTGCTGCAAGACAGGGTCTGAAGCGTGGCTTGGAGGCCCTGATGGGCTCTCCCAGCTAGGTGCTCTCTTTTCCCAACTTTCGGCCCGACCTCACTCAGCTCCCTGGCCGTACACTAGCCTGTTGAATTGCCTGTCCCACCCACTATCTTGGGGTAGGGCTGGCTTGGGTCCCTCCATCATTTGTGGCAGGAGGGCTGGCGAGGGCACTGGCTGGGAGAGGCGGGGCCCCTGGCAGCTATGCCTCCCTCCTTCCCCAGTGGCCCATCACGACCTGGATAACACGCTCAACTGCAGCTTCCTGGAGCCACCCTCGGGGCTGGAGCAGCCCTCGCCATCATGGTCTTCCCGGGCCTCCTTCTCCTCCTTTGACACCACGGATGAAGGCCCCGTATACTGTGTACCCCACGAGGGTGAGTGCCCCTCTGCTTGGGGTGAGGATCCCTCTCGCTCTGACCCAGTGAAAGGTTCCAGCTGAAATTTCTGTGCTCTAAGAGACAGGCAGCATGGGGAGGAAGGGCTAGTGATGCTGTTAACTGGGGGTTGGATACACAGTTGAGGTTGCAGAGTGGGCTTCTTTGCTGCCCAGCACCAGACTGGGGTAGGGTCTGGGGAGGTAGCCACAGCCCAGGTTCACTTCTGGGGAGACCAGGCAGAGAAAATTCCGGGCCTGGGGAGGAGGTGGCAGAGGAGACAGGAAATGGGGTTTGCAGGATATGGGGACACACTTTCACCTGAAGCCTTGGCTCACAAACATCAAGAAGCAGCCTGAATAGCTGGGCTTCTGGCCTCTCTCTTCCCCAGACCACCCCCGTGAATGACTTTGGGCAGGTGACTAACCTCTGAGCCTTAGAAGGCCTTTCTCTTAAAGAAGGACTATGAATCGAGGGTCAAATGTGGTGATGGTGGCCCCCCAGGCTGGGGATGTGGTGGGGGAGGGGTGCGAGTCCAGGCCGAGTTGGGGCTGCAACCCAGGAATTAGCCCCACTACCCCAGCCCTCCACCTCCGGGGCTCTGAGCTAAGTTTGTGGTCAGTGCAGTGAATGTGCCAGGCATGTCTGGATGCCACGGCGACTGAGCGCCAGCTGGGGCGGGAAGAGGAGGGGAGGCGGGGCGCCAGCGAGGGTTTGCTCTTGGAGGCTGGGGGGCCAAGCTCTTTCCAGAGGAGGTGACCGCCCCGCTCGTCCCTTGTCAGAGGCGGCAACCGAGAGCCGGGACGCGGAGGTCCCCATCGCCCCAGCCACTGCCCCTAACGAGGCGCTGGCTTCGTCCCCTGCACCGGTGACTACGCCCGCGGAGGAGGCCACGCCCCTCCGCGCGTCCTCCGACAGCGAGCGGTCAGCGTCGAGCGGGGACGGGCCTGGCGGGGCGCTGTATGCGCGTGTGGCCCGGCGTGAGGCCCGGCCGGCCCGGGTCCGGGGCGAGGCCCGAGGCCTGTCGCTTTCGCCATCGCCCGAGCGCAGGAAGCCACCGCCGCCCGACCCCGCCACCAAGCCCAAGGTGTCCTGGATCCACGGCAAGCACGGTGCCGCCGCCGCGCGTGCGCCGTCGCCGCCACCCGCGGGCCCCGAGGCCGCTCCCAGCCCCAGCAAGAGGAAACGGACGCCCAGCGACACATCGGCGCGGCCGGACGAGCCCTGCAACCCTAGGGCCCGCGACCCGACGCCGCGACCCCCGGGGCTGGCAGAGGAGGGGCCGGCCCTCGCCGCACCCTCGCCGCCCCGGGCTCGAGCGCGGGGCCGTGGCCCTGGCCTCTCAGAGCCCACGGACGCTGGCGGTCCCCCGCGCAGCGCACCTGAGGCCGCCTCCATGCTGGCCGCCGAGCTGCGCGACAAGACTCGCAGCCTGGGCCGCGCCGAGGGGGCCGTGGGCACGCAGGGCCCCCGAGAGAAGCCGGCGCCGCCGCAGAAGGCCAAGCGCTCGGTGCCTCCCGCCTCGCCGGTCCGCGCGCCCCCCGCGCCCGAGGCCCCAGGGCCCGAGAAGGCGGCAGCGGGCGCACCCGGATCCGACACCCCCCGAAAGAAGACCCCCATCCAGAAGCCGCCTCGTAAGAAGAGCCGGGAGGTGGCGGGCGAGCCGGGCCGAGCGGGCGCGCCCACCCTGTAGTAGGTCGGCCCCGCCGTGCCTGCAGCTCCTCGGCTTAGCAGCGCTGCTTGTCACCCCGCGTCCCGTGCGCGCCCGGCGTCTCCCGCGGGGGCCCCAGCCCAGAGCAGCCTGGCGGGAGGCTGCGTCTCACTGGCTCAGGCCCAACGGCCCTCCTGGATGGGGTCCCGCGCTCGGGCAGGAAGCCCCATCCCAGTGGCTAAGGCCTGACAGACGCTTTGCTGGCCCCTCCCTTCCCATGGCCTGCCTGTGGAGGGCTCCCACCAGCCCGGGTCTCAAAGGCCAAGGGCAGGAGGGCTCTGCCTAAAGAACACCTCTTACTGGCCAAGAGTGCCTTGGCTGGGTCACCTTCTCACTGGCTGAGGCCAGAAGCACTTCCACCCTGGCAGTCTCTCTCTGGCCAGGGCCTGGCGCCTCTGGCTGGAGGTTCCCTTCTGTGACCCTAGCCAGAGGCTACTTCCACTGGCCGAGCCCCAGGGCATCTGGTTGACCGGAGCCTGGGGAGGAGGGCTGGTCTCTGCTCCTCAGGAGGCTTGGCTGTCTCCCCACCCACCCCAGCCCCACCCACGCTCTCCCAGCCCCAGCCTCCCCAGCCCTGGCCCCTCTGCTGTCGAGCTGGTTTTGATGGCCTCCCACCACCCCACATGCCTGGGAATCCGAGGGGCAACTCCAGTGGCCTGTGGAGATGTATTTATAGGCCCCCGGCAGGGCTGCTCCCACCCCATCCGGGTGCCCCAGGATGGGCTCCTCCCGGCAGGGGCTTGGCCAAAGCTTTCTTAATAAAGTGCCTTTTTTCTCCCCGTGCTCTGACTGCTTCCTATCTGCGGGCCTCTTGACGAGGATGTCCCCCCCAAAGAAACTGTGCCAGGATCCCTCGACCCAAGTGGAGCCTGGGAGCCCAGGTGTGGGTCTCCCAGGACTATGTTGGAAGTGGGTCATGTCCATCTGCCCATCCTTCACCTATTTATCAAGTTTATTGGCCACCCACCTCGGCCCACCCCATCCTGGACTGGCAACCTGGGATGAAGGGTGTGTAGGAGCAGATAGAGTGGCACCCTTGGCTACGAGGAAGGAGCCAGCGCATGGGGCTGCTTCTGCCCTGCACCTTCCCCACTGCCCACTGCTGTTATACTTGGGGCCTCGAGCTGTTTGGTGTGGCTGGGGCGGGTCAGAGGCTGGGGCCAGGGGGTAGTGGGCCACGGGCACAGCCTCCAGCCGGGCCGCATCTGGCACAAACAAGACAGTCTGGCACCACACAGAGCCCCGCTGTCCATCTCAATGGGCTCCCTGTCCTCAGCCGGAAACTCTCCCGGCCCGAGAGGTGGGGGGAGGGGGAGAGCCCGCCTGGCCCAGAGCCCTGGCTGGCCCTGCTGGCAGTGCCCCCCCTCCCCTGCTCCCCCGCCCAACCTCGGCCTGCTCCCACTCTGGCCTGGCCTTCTTTCTGTGGCCATTTGTCCTAATGTCTTCACTGCTTCTGGCCCTCAGATGGCCTCGCAAGTGACCTTCCTGAGCTCCAAAGCCTCACTTTTCTACCGTGTCCGCTGTCCCTCATCCATCTGGGCTCCTCCCATCTCGCTGCCTCTGCCTAGCAGGCCTCTTCCTCACCTTTTGCTGCCAGCTCTTTCGATCAGGAGATTCTGCCAAGATTCTCCATTTATCTCCCCATCCCCGCCCCATAGGCCCCAGCACGACCAGAGTCTGGCCAGTGCTGGCAGCTCAGGGATCTCACCTGGCAAGTCTCTTGCCCTCTGGCCAGATGCCACGTGGAGGTAAACGTCAGTGACATGTACAGGGGCTGAGCCACCTGAGTGGAGATGGCCTCATGGCACAGGCGGGACATCTGGCGTGGCTCCCGTGGCCGTAGTCCCTGCATCTGGCCTGGTCAGGCAGCACGTGGAAGGCAGGCTCCCTGTCCCCGGGGCACGCACCTTCCCTCGAGCCAGCTGGGCACCCTCCCAGCTGTGGCCCTGCGCCTGGCCAGCCTCATCCCTTCTGGCACCAGGCCATGCTGGCTGCCGGGGCTCAGAACACAGGCTTAACGTCAGCCAGGAGGGGCAGCTGCCCAGCTGGGCTCAGCAAGGGCAGGGCAGTGGCTGAGGAAGGTGGTAGAGGGCAGTGAGGTGGTTCGGGCCACAGTCTTGCCATGTACCCCCCACCCACCATGTGCCACCCTGCCGCTCCCCAACCCCTGAACCCCTGCTCCAGCTCGCCTGCTCCCTGGCCTGGATCAGCACTGTGTGGGGCGACCAGAGCTGTCGCATCGGCCAGGCCTTTCCTGAGGCCCCTCCGCCGCCTGCTCTGGGAGCCTCCAGGCATCCAAGACCCTGAGCTTCAGGAGCCCCTCTGTGTGGGTGCCTCACAGAGCAGGAGCACCTCCCGCACTTCTGGCAGCCAGCCCTGCCACCCTGGGGGCCAGATGCTGTGGCCTGGAGACCAGGCAGGACCTGGCCCAAGAAACCCCCCAGGATGATCCGGTAGCCGCCTGGAGAGGGAGCTGCTGGGACCCCCTCCCCACCCCCATAGGCCTGCAGCAGTGCTAGCTCCCAGGGCAGGCGCCACAAAAGGGAACCGCGGCTGCTGGAACCTCCGTTGCCATGGGGACGAGGACCACAGGACCCACATCTGGTAGCGATTGAGGAGGAAAAATTATGAGTCGTGGAAAACGCAAATATTTTTTGTAGCACAGAGCACAAAGGAGCGGGAGGAATGTGGGACTGGAGAAGGCCTGAGCCCTGCCGGCTTTCAGGCGGGGACAGAGAACATATCACACAGAGGCAGAGCTACACCTACACACACACACACACACACACACACACACACACACACACACACACA